GCATTTGTTAGAGGAAAGACACAACCTGGGTTCTGCTGTATTTCATCTGAGAGCTCAAACTCATCCAGTTGGTCCTTAAATTAACTAATTCCCTCTCACTCCACTAACCAGAATTGTCCTCTTTTGGAAGAAGGCTTTTCCTGGCTAAACCTTTGTTTGAATTAGCACATTCCTAGAAAAATATTTTAGCTTCAGCAAATGAGCATTTTATGAGCAAGGAAACCACAAAGGAAGAGGCAGTTGAACACTTTCTGACCAGTTGTTGCAGTTAGGTACCAAGCTTGCTAGAAGACTTTATCTCTGCTGTGTCCATGAAGAGATCTCCAGCTCCAGCTTCTCCAGCTGGAGATCCCCTAAAAGAAGATGATAAATTCCAGCTTTCCAAAGGCAACCAAAATGCCTTTCTCTGTTCAGCTTTCTGTCCTGGGCTGATCATTTCAGAACACACTTCTGAGGTGCAGCAGTTACCAAGTCCCAGCCTCCACAGCCAGTGAAAGCAACAGGTCTCACTGGACTTGGAAAGATCCTTCACTGAGTTCCTTGAGTGGGCCTGTTCAGTCAACCTGTGCTCTTCAGAACTGGGAATATGTGGCAAAAAGGGTGGGCAGATGTTTCCTGGTTGCGATCAGGAATTCTCCCTGACAGGCCACATCTGAAGGCACCAAGCCATGGGGTTGCCTTTTCTTAAAGTTCTCCTTTCTCAAGTGAGGCACTCCCAGGAGCAGAAGATACCTCATCTCAATCCCCAGGTTGGGACTCCCAACCTGTTTTTACCAAGTACTAGAGCCTTTTCCCTGGGTGATTTCCTGAAGTGTCCAGAAACTTTGAGTTTGTTCCCTGTTTTAATCTGGTGATTTTGCTCTCCTGTCTCTTGGGCTTGAAGGCAAGCCTTAACCATTAGGGATGGACAGGTCCCAGATACCCACCCAACATGGATCTGAGATGAGGACAAGGCAGATGTGTGGACCAAGACTATAGAGTGAAACAAGGACCACTCTTGTCTGCAAGCAGAGGCTCAGCCAAAGGGACCATCTTCTTGCCTGAGTCCAACACCAGCCTCAGACTTATCTTCCCAAGACTTCTCCTGCCACCCACAAGCCTGACTTCACAGGCCAGCACAGGACATACTTCTTTTTGCATCAGCTTTTCCAGCTGTCTGGAAAAACATCAGAAATGCTACTCAGCCTGTCCTTCCCATTTTGAGGGAGAAAACAGTTATTCTGACATCTCTGCACAGAGACTGTGAGGGACAAGAGACCAAGTGGGGAAGCCTATTAGGTACCATTGGATTTATTAGCATTTACGTGGTATTCTGGCAAATTCTTCCACACAAACTTGGCAAAAGGGCTCATTAAAAGACACCTAATCATTTTAATGAAATAAATATTCTTTGCTTGCTGTGACTTGTTACAGCCAATGATTCTTGGACAGGGCCACCTTCTTTCAAATCTCTCATCTCTTCCATTGCATGAACCAAACAAGTTGCAGGAGAACAGGCAGTTTGTTGAGGTTTTAGTTCCTCCTTTGAGCTACTGATAGCTTGGAGAGCTTCCAGAAGCCACTGAGTCACAGACTTCCAGTACTGAAATATGCAGCCTGCAAGGATCAAGTTTAGCCTCAAGCCTTTTTCTTTCTTCCGCAAAACTTACTGGCTGAGAGAGGAGTTTAACACAGATTTTTCCCTGAAAGCAGAGGGGGTGTCTCAGCTTTCATGCACAGGGTATGAAAGAACAAAACCATAATTTTCCTCCCAAGGTGCTTAGACCAGACTGCAAGAACTTTATTTAAAACTAGGGCTTCAGGTGGGGCTCCTCACAAGATTTTAATGTCCTTTATTTCTGGCAAGGGTGTGAGCCCAAGGTCCAGACTCCCCTCCTCCCCACAGCACGGGGAAGAGGCAACACCACATCCACAGGTTTCCTTCACTTCTTCCTGAAGTTCTCCTGGTTCTACTGCTTAACTTATCACGGAGTTTCAGAGTGGTGGAGGTTGGAAGGGGCCTCTGAGGATCATCTAATCCAAATCCATGCTAGAGCAGGGTCACCTACAGCAGATCCCACAAGAACACATCCAGGCAGGTCAGGAATGTCTCCAGAGGAGCCTCCACAGCCTCTCTGGGCAGCCTGTCCCAGGGCTCTGTCACCCTCACACTAAATACGTTTTTCCTCATGTTTAACTTGAACCTCCTGTGCTCCAGCTTGTGCCCATTGCCCCTTGTCCTGTCCCTGGGCACTGCTGGTAAGAGACTGGTCCCGTCCTCCTGACATCCCCTGCAGATATTGATTATGTTGATGAGATCCCCCCTGTAGGCTGAACAGCCCCAGCTCTCCCAGCCTTTCCTCACAGGGCAGGTGCTCCAGTTCCCTCAGCATCTTTCTGGCCCTTCCCTGGGCTCTCCCAGTAGCTCCTTGTCCTTCATGACCTGGGGAGCCCAGAACTGGACAGAGTATTCCAGAGGTGGCCTCACCAGGGCAGAACAGAGGGGGAAAATCAAGGTCTCCCTATGTGGAACTCACCAGGGGAACTGGATGTGGACTGACAACCTGGGAATGAGGGAAAAAGCATTTGGCTTGTGAGCAGAAGAAGGCAGCCATTGGCTTCTCCATGCTTTGGCACTGTCTCAACACACACCACTAATTCCCAGCTGGAGGAATCACTGTGTAAAGAAACAGGAGTGAGAAGGATTAAGCCTGTTAGGAGTGTTATCTTCCAGAAAAAAAGATGCCCTGGAGAAACCACAGAGAACCAGGGCCACTTCCCCAGCACAGTGGCTTCTGGCTCAGGAGCATCTGGCATCACAAGGTGGCTCCTGGCTTTGCAGAACACATTTAGTGGGGAACAGTGGGATGGAAGAGTGTGGTGACCTGGGTGAAGCTGCTCAGCAAAGCTGCTCAGGCTAGGGGTGTAGCTGTCAGTATTATGGTGGCATAAAAAGACTTGTGGGTAAATTCCTCCCCAATGCGAACAGCCCATGATGCCAGCTGCTTCCACAGGGACCTCTTCTGCCCTGGGAAGTTCTCAAAGGATATTATGGATGTAAAGTCAGCTCCTGTGGTGGCCACATCCACCTGACCATCAGTCTCAGGGAAGGAAAGGGACAGAGAGATCACTAAAGCATGAACACCTCAATAAAAGAAAACACAAATCCTCAGAGAAAGCCCACAGTGGATCATCTATCCACCAAAATCTTCTCCCTCACAAAATGCAAAATATACTTTTCTCTGGTGAATCTACACCAGGGTCAGGATTCACAGTCCCTAAATTTAGAAGATATTTTAGAGATCACCTGTGATCCCTGGGATCCACAGAGGCCTGAAGTTTCCTCAGCAGGGAGAACACCACCAGATCCTGACAGTCACAGGAGTAATTTGGCAACTGGTCAGGATGGTATCTACCATGTCCTGTTGAGCATGACAGCTTGAAAAGTAACTGTGGAAAGGCAGGAGCTGGTGGGTAAGATGGATTTCAAGGTGCCAGGAAGGGGACAGAGCCCAGTGCTCTTGAGAATGTATTAATGGCAGAAGGTACCCTAAGAAGGACACATCCACCCTTGGACACTGCCTGTGTGGCTAGTGGTGGAGATATGGCAAAGCCAGGGAAAAGCAGCTACAGCTTCTCCTACTATCCCTGAGAAGGCAGGAGTCAACTGGATTTGTCCAAACAATAATATTCTAGGATAGAAAGTCATGGCTGAGAGCCATCATGGAGCACAGCTTGAAGTTCCTCAGCTGAAAGGCCTTGAAGCAAGAATTTCAGTACTGCAAGGGACACAGATCATTCTCAACCTTAGAAGTGGTTGCACTGGTCTACGACTGGAGCCCATTGATGGAGAAGCACGAGGCAGCCTGGGCTGCCACCTGCCTGT